ATTACCCCCCCCCTACCCCCCCCCCCCGGCTTTCCCCAGCCAATGCCCTTGGTCCCAAGGAGCTATGGGTTTGGGGGCACTGGTCCTGGGGGCTTGCGGGTGCCCCCACAGGAGCTGTGTTAACTCCGAGCCTTTATACATCACGTTTCCTTTCCTCTCTCCACTTGTAGGATGATTTGAGATCCTTGGCTGTAGGAGGGTGCTGTTGTATCTCGCCCCCCCCCCCCGGCTTTCCCCAGCCAATGCCCTTGGTCCCAAGGAGCTATGGGTTTGGGGGCACTGGTCCTGGGGGCTTGCGGGTGCCCCCACAGGAGCTGTGTTAACTCCGAGCCTTTATACATCACGTTTCCTTTCCTCTCTCCACTTGTAGGATGATTTGAGATCCTTGGCTGTAGGAGGGTGCTGTTGTATCTCGTGCTGTTTGAGCTTCCAACTGCACAGCAAAGACGCAAAGCACCTGTATGATCTGCACCGTTTATGTTTAATAATGTTGTTTTCATAGTCGTCTAATAATTGCATGTTTTCTTTCTACAGTGGATCGCAGCTCCAAGAGGAGGCAAGTGAAGCCTTTGGCAGCTTCACTGCTGGAAGCTTTAGATTATGATAGTTCAGATGACAGTGATTTTAAAGTTGGAGATGCTTCAGGTAAACATTTCCCTTCATCTCCCGAGTTCAAAATGATTTTGCATCTTTTATTTTTATCAAATTGTGGCTTTGGGTTTTTTAACTAGTATCTGAAATGGAAGGAAGAGTGCTACTGAAACATTGGAAGACTATACATGGAAATTGTATGGTTTTTGGTCATGTATAGAATATACATGTGTTGAAATGTTGGGACATAAAGCCTAATAATCTGGTTAGCTTGGAATCCTTGCCTTACAGAGAGCACCCAACTAAATTTAGACAGTACATCTGTGAAACACCTGACCCCAGATAGAACTTGAATTTTTTTCCAAGTAAAAATAGATTGCAGACTGATAATAAGTCAGAGTTGCTTTCAAACATTTCACCTTGTGGCTGAAACAAGGACCAGCAGGGAAAATATGAATCTTCTGTACAAGTGCCTTAGTTGTTGCACCTAGTTTTTATTTAGGCTATGTTAGCACTATAGCCTATGTTGGGATGATTTATATCTCTCAGTGTTGTGATCAAATCACCCTGCTGGGTGACATCAGTTATCCTGACATAATCATTCATGTGCACAGTACTATGCTAGCAGGAGAACTTTTTTGGCGAATACAGCTTTTTGCCATTTGTGGTGGTGGATTTTTTTATGCTGACAGGAGCATGTCTCTGGCATAGAGCATCTTCACCAGATGTGCTGTAGCAGTGGAGCTGCATCAGTACAGCTGAACCACTGCAGTGCTGTATATACAGACCTGGCATTTCCATAACAAAAAACTGTTCTGGAAATACCTTATTCTTTGTAGTGTTGGATTAACATATCAATGTTAGACAGTCATTGCCTTCACAGTACTTTTTTTTTTCTTTTCAAAATCAGGTTCTGGGCTGCCTCTTTTTAAACCTGGTACCTGCGAAAAGTAGAAAGGAAAAAAGGAGGGGTGAAAAATCAACTTACACTTACTATAGTAGCACCAGAAAACTCACTTGGATCAGTGCAGGGAGCTGTATGAACTCAAGATAATATTTCAAAGCATTTACAATTAATATAAAGCCCTATTCCTGCAGTCTAATTCATATGTGAAGACCCTTGTACCTGCTTGGACTCTCTCTCAAAGCCTTAAAAAAGCCCACACACTAAGGCTATGTCTACACTCGTGGCTTCTTGCGTGAGTAATATGCAAATGAGGCTAAGCGTGGAATATCACCAAGCCTCAATTGCATACCTAATGAGCCACCATTTTTTAAAGAAGAGGCTCTTGTGCAAAAAGGAGTGTCTACACTGCTCCTTCTTGCGCAAGAAAAACCCTCTTGCGGCTCATGTGCAAAAAGGAGCGTCTACACTGCTCCTTCTTGCGCAAGAGCCTCTTCTGGAAAAAAGGTGGCTCATTAGGTATGCAATTGAGGCTTGGCGATATTCCACCCCTAGCCTCATTTGCATACCTAATGAGCCACCTTTTTTCCAGAAGAGGCTCTTGCGCAAGAAGGAGCGTCTACACTGCTCCTTCTTGCGCAAGAGCCTCTTCTGGAAAAAAGGTGGCTCATTAGGTATGCAATTGAGGCTTGGCGATATTCCACCCCTAGCCTCATTTGCATACCTAATGAGCCACCTTTTTTCCAGAAGAGGCTCTTGCGCAAGAAGGAGCGTCTACACTGCTCCTTCTTGCGCAAGAGCCTCTTCTGGAAAAAAGGTGGCTCATTAGGTATGCAATTGAGGCTTGGTGATATTCCACGCTTAGCCTTATTTGCATATTACTGGCGCAAGAAGCCGCAAGTGTAGACATAGCCTAACTGACGTAACAGGAGAAAAAGAAGCTGGAGGTGGGAGGAAGAGGGTTAAAGTGATATTGCCATGTGGATAAACAAGAGGTCTAAAGCCGAAAGGCATCTCTTCCTCTGCTTTAGTCCCAATTTTAAAGATTCCCCTGGGGATTTTCTTGTAGGAAAGAATTGTAGCAGTACCAGAATGAAATGATCTCCATCTTGTAAACTTTATTTTAAGTTTCTTTTGAATTAAAGGTTTTTCATCTTGCAGATAGAACTGCTCTAAAAAGTTGTGAAACTAACTATATTGTCAATTTTCAGTGGCAAGCTAGTCTCTTTTATTCTCTTGCAATAGAAAAGATGGGATTCTTGGGAAAGGGAGCATAGAATGCACACTGAGAGGATCAAAATGTTCTAGGAGGTGATTGGAAAACAGATGCAGAAAGGAAAATACATAATATATTCCTATTTTTATTAATGTTCTCAGATTTAGTAAAAAAAAAAAAAATCAGAAATAAAACTTTCTTCTTAAATTTTTTTTGTTTGGAACCTAAATGCTCCACTTGTATAAAGGCCCATTGACCTATGGATGTTGAACTGGCAGGGATGGAGACTCAATTTGGGACCTGAATAGTTTACAATGGTTTAAGGAGTGAGAGTGGAAATTCCCTCAAGATACAACATAGAAGCCAAAGCAGTTTGGGGTCTCTGACAATGAAAGAAATCCACATGTTCTGTTTTTGAAATATTTTGACCTTTTGTGTGTTTATATTGTTAAATGGCTTTGCTTTAAAACTTCAGAGTTGGTTTGTGTAACTTCAGTTGGGAGTGCTTACTCTGTAAACTGTCAAAAGAAAAAAGTATTTGAAATGAAGTTCTGAATGTTTTGAGAGGAAAAGCTTGCCAGTTCTAAGTTCTACTGTGGCTTCTATCTTTTTAGCATTTTTTTAATAGTAAGTATAGTATAAATGTTTGGATTGCTTCTTGTGTCTCATTAGACAGTAATTGTATACTTGAAAAAGTAGGTCTATGCTCTTTTGTATGTGGTTGTCATGGTGTCTTAAATTTGTGCTGGGCCTAGGTTTTTTTCCTCTTTCGTGTGAAATTGTAAAGGGACTCTGGAATATACAGTTTCTCATAAGAAAGGCACTATTACAGATTGAAGAGTAGATTTTACTTTAATGTACAACATTGATTCTACAATACATAACACATGGGCACACCTCTATGTTCATGTGGAACCTGGTTGAATTCAATTGTGCTCCATGTGGATCCATCGGTCTGTCTATGTATGGTATGTTGCATGATCAAGCCCTATATATAAAGTACTTTGGATTTAGAATTCTGTGGCTGAATTTCTTGTTTGCAATGGATTCCTTACATGTGTAGATAATCAATAAAAAAGTACATGGAGAACTACCTTAAAATATTGTGCAATATTGCATTTTCTAATAAATGCAGGTATGTTTGACTACTCAGCAAATATGCACTAATGCACATATTTGGATATACCAGTGTACACGTGTACACACACACACACACACACACACACACACACACACACACAGCAATTTAAATCTTAATTTTTTTAGTAACAACTGAAGTTCTATGGAGGGAAAGTACATTAAATATCAAACGAGAATTTAAATGTACCAAAATTAAGAAATTTAAAAGTTGGGGTTTTCCCTCTGTCTGCCACATTGCATCTATATGTGAAGGTGTAGAACTTAAAAGCCTGTGGTATAGTATAAAATGCTGAGATGATGCTTACTGTCACATTGAAATCAATTGAAGTGTGTGTTATAGCAAGGGTTTGCAAGATTGGACTCAACTGTTTTAAATAGGTATCCTAACTCTCAAATCTTCTGGAGTCTGTTCTTCTGATGTCCTGCATGTAATCAAGGAACTTCTGAAATTACTCACCTGTTCCTGTGAGAACCCTAGCATGGATAAGATTTCCTTGGGTAGACCTGTTTGTTATAAAAGTATCAGTTAGTTTGGTTTTTGTGCTTTTCTTCGAGTGTAATCAACACAATGGTAAATGATGGAAGCAACTGATACCTTATTTCTAGATTCCTATCTGATTCATGGCCATGAAAATTGTCATAGACCATGAAATCTGGTCTCACCATATGAAATCTGACCATATGAAATCTGGTCTTTTGTGTACCCTTACCTATATTATACCAATGTCCTGGAGGAGACCAACATTTTTCAAATTGGGGATCCTGACCTAAAAGGTGCAGGGGGGGTCGCAAGGCGATATTAAGGGGGTGGTTGTATTGCCACCCTTCTGCAGTGCGACTTTCAGAACTAGGTGGCTAGAGAGTGGCAGCTGCTGACCGAGGGCCCAGTTCTGCAGGCAGCAATGCCGAAGTAAGTATGGCAATACAGGTTGAACGTCTCTGCTCCAGCAATATCTGTAGTTCAGCATGGTTTTAGTTAGACACGTGTCCACTTACCATGGATGTGGCCAAGTTTTCTGCAGTCCCATATAGTTTGTTTAGAGCCACCAGTCCAGGCTCTGTGTTCTGTGCTGTAATTTAGCTCTAACTTACCCGTACATGTGTTCTAAGAATGCTACTAGACAATATCAGTCTCCTGTGCTTTGGCAAATTCTCTGGTTTGGCATTAGTCAGGTCCCAAGTAGGGATGTAAGTGAGTAGTTGAGTTGACTACTTGCTCCCCCCCGGTTTATGTATCAGTGGCAGCAGGGTGTGTGTGTGTGAGACAACAGGAGCCAGTGCTGGGGGAAGGTGGCTTAAAAGCTGCTGCCCGCCCCCCCACCTCTGTTTTCACTGTGCTGCCTCTCTCTTTTCTCTCCCTCCGCCCCTGCGCTGCTGACTCCATAGTGGGTGGAGGGTAGAGGAGGCTGCTGCAGAGCGGCCTCTGTCTGCAGTGGACCCAGACTTGCTGTGAGCTCAAGCAGCCTGTTTGCAAGCTTTTGTTTGCGAGGGGTCCAAGTGGGGAGTTGCCCCCCCTCCCGTTCCCCAAAGACAGGGGCTGCTGTCATCAAGCAGCCTGTTTGCAGGAGCTGGGGCTGGCTGCTGGACTTGGTGCAAGCTGGATCTGAGCAAATCTGGCTCAGTCTTGGCTTGCGCCAGTCTGGGATCGCTGCAGCTCTGCATTTTAAGTGTGGTAAGAGCTGCCTGGTTCTTACTACATTTAAACTGATGAGCTGTAGCAAGGGTAGCTCCTAGATCAGCACAAGCTGTGACAGAGTACCTTCCCTTATCGACTAATCGTGTAGTTAATGCAAATTGTATTGACTACATGATTAGTCATTTACCCAACTCTTAACATCCTTAATCCCAAGAGTGCTGAACTAGAGAGGTTCAACAAGTGGAGTTCCGCAAGGGTCTGTTTTGGGACCCGTACTGTTCAATATCTTCATCAATGATGTAGATATTGGGATAGAGAGTACGCTTATTAAGTTTGCAGATGATACCAAACTGGGAGGGGTTGCAACTTCTTTGGAGGATAGGGACATAATTCAAAATGACCTTAGCAAGTTAGAGAAATGGTCAGAGGTAAACAGGATGAGGTTTAATCAAGAGAAATGCAAAGTGCTCCACTTAGGAAGGAACAATCAGTTCCATACGTACAAGATGGGAAGCGACTGTCTAGGGAGGAGCATGGCGGAAAGGGATCTAGGGGTCATAGTGGACCACAAGTTGAATATGAGTCAACAGTGTGATGCTGTTACAAAAAAAGCAAATATGATTCTAGGTTGTATCAACAGGTGTGTTGTAAGCAAACCTCGTGAAGTCATTCTGCCGCTCTACTCTGCACTAGTTAGGCCTCAGCTGGAGTACTGTGTTCAGTTCTGGGCGCCACCTTTCAAGAAAGATGTGGAGAAATGGGAAAGGGTACAGAGAAGAGCGACAAGAATGATTAAAGGTTTAGAGAACATGACTTATGAAGCCAGGCTTCATGAACTGGCTTGTTTAGTTTGGAAAAACGAAGATCAAGGGGGGACATGATAGCGGTTTTTAAATATCTAAAAGGGTGTCACAAGGAGGAAGGAGAAAATTTGTTCCTCTTGGTTTCTGAGGACAGGACAAGGAGTAATGGGCTTAAAGTGCAGGAGGGGAGGTTTAGATTGGACATTAGGAAAAAATTCCTAACTGTCAGGGTGGTCAAATATTGGAATAAATTGCCAAGGGAGGTGGTGGAATCTCGCTCTCTGGAGATATTTAAGAACAGGTTAGATAGACATCTGTCAGGGATGGTGTAGATGGAGCTTGGTCCTGCCTTGAGGTCGGGGGGGCTGGACTTGATGACCTCTCGAGGTCCCTTCCAGTCCTATTATTCTATGATTCTATGATAACCTATACCATACCCTTACTTCTGCATTGCTGGTGGCTCTGCTTTCAGAGTTTGGCTTCCAGGCAGCAGTGGCTATCCTCCAGCTGCCCACCTCTGAAGGTAGCATCAACAGCAGCAGTACAAAAGTAAGGTAGCAGTACTGCAAACCTCTCCTCTCCCCTCCCCAACTCATTTTTGAGAGAGGACCCATACAGTTAAAACAAATGAGATTTTAATATTGAATAGCTGATATTATTGACACTTGTAATTTTTAAAATCCTATGATCATGAAATTCACCAAAATGGACCATGAATTTGGTAGGGTCCTACTTCTTATCTTTAAGGATCCCACTGCTTTTAACTTCCATTCAGCTCAACTGGTCTTGGAATTCATAAACTTCAGTGTAGACATGAAACTAGTTCTCAACTTTAGTGTTGCATTTGTATGGTTACTTTCAATGAACAAAGTAACCTTTTTACACCTCAGATTCTAAGGAGTACTACTTAGAAATAGTATCATTATAGCTAAAGTTGTATATATTCTCTTGTTTATTACAAATAATTTAGAGCAGGGGTGAGGAACCTGGGGGCTGGATGCAGCCTCTAGATTGCCTAGATCCTGCCTCGGGGGTTCAAGGCTCTACCCTAGCATTGGAGAGCCCGCCACTACACCACAGGATTGAAGCACACAATATCTACTAGCCGGGGCCCCCCAGGCTCTGTTGTGCAAGGGAAATGTGGGAAGTGTGTTTCTCCTTCTCAGTGAGGGAGTTTAGTTTTTTCATTTATTTATTTATTTGCTTCTCACTTGTGTGCGATTCTCCAGCCCTGATTTGCAAAGACTTGATCCTGGCTGCAGATTGGCATTACGTGGTCTCATTGCAGAAAAATTAAAAACATTGGTTTAGTTATAATTAAGTTACACGAGAAAGCATTGAGGTTTGTGATTTGGGCTGCTTGCTTTTATGCCATGATGCAAAGTTTCATGTCTTCGGCTGATGTTTTGCAATCCAATAGCATGCAATGAAGATCAGTTTGCTTTGAAAAGCAGTGATACTCTTCTCTTTTACTTTAAATAGGTGCAACCTAAGGATTCTTGATGCCTGGACTAGTGTATCTATTTGTTGCCTGTATAACTTTTGTGTACAGCACCTTTTTAGCCTAGAGCTTTCAAAGCACTTGATAAGCTGTGTGGATATGGAGTTGCTTCTGAGGGATGAACTCTGTATCCATTTGCATCAGCATTGCTGCATAATAAGTGGAGGGAAGAACATGAATGTTTCAGTTGAAACTACAGGTTGAACCTCTCTTATTTGTCACGCTCTGGTCTGGCATGATTTTAGTTAACTGGATGTACACTTATGAGTGTGGCCAAGTTTTCTGTGGTCCCATAAAGTTTGTTTACAGCCACCAGTCCTGGCTCTCGGTGTTCTGTGCTACTGTTTAGCTTTAATTTACCCATGAACATCTTTCAAGAGCTCAGTAAACAGTGGAAGTCATAAACATCTTTCAAGAGTTCAGTAAACAGTGGAAGTATTGGTAATGCTGCTAGACAATATTGAGCTTCTGTGGTTTGGTAAATTCTCTGGTTTGGCACCAGTCAGGTCACTGAGGGTTCTGGACTAGAGAGATTCAAACTGTATAAAGATAATTTTTAAGTAAGCAGAATGGATTTAGCTATTTTGATTTGATAGCAGGGTTAAAGTGCTTATACCTTTTTACTCAACCTTTTAAAATTTTTCTATTGGCCACCAGCTGTATGTTGTGTTTTTGGCCATTATTTTTATTAAGCATCTGGTATTATGATAGCACCCGAAGCCAGCTCCCCCTGCGTTCTGTCTCCTGCCTGCTGCCTCGCGCTGCTCCCTCTGTATTAGGTGGCTCCACGGGAGCGGGTGTGTACCAGGAGCTAGTTTTTAAGCCTGCCCAAGGTCATTGATTAACCATTTACAAGGTTACACTACCATATCCCTATAGCATATGCTCTTTGTATAAAATGGCTCTCTTGATTATTTAAAAGTAAAATTTGTTAATTGAGAAGTTACATTTTATTGTAAGAAATGTGCCAAACTTCTTATAGGACCCCAGTGTCACTTTTTTTTTGTACTTCATGATTTAATAACAGAATAATACAGATGTTTCACACTCCTCATGTAGCAAAAACTCATTGAAATGTTGTGCATAGAAGTCACTTTGTTCTTTATGCCTTTGTTGAAGAATTTTTAGTTATGTCTTGCTTCAGACTTCCACAAAGAACTGCCCTCTTTTAAAGGCTACCCTCTTCAGTGTGTTCAATGGCATTCAAGCCTCAAGTGACCATTTTATAGAAAGGCATAACTTATCTTTCATATTTATTGTCAGTGGGACTGAGTATACCTTGCTGCTGTCTCACAATTTGGATTGTCACTGTCTTCCTTGAAAGCATCATGACTTCTCTCTCATTCTCTCTCCCCCCCACCCCGTTAAATTAGCTAAATGGTTAAACTTAAACAAGATTTTTACATCCCTAGCTTTAGCTAATAATCATGTGTACTGTGGGATTCTCTGCATCTTGTCTCCACCATACATAACCTTGCTAGTTCCACTGTCTGGGCTGTATATGACTATGAATGTATGTGCAGGAGTTGCTGGTTGGTAATTAATAAAATGCTTTAGTCACTGTTATCTGGTAAGTAGGGTGATTTAAGGGCAGATGCATTTTTTACGTGCCAGTAAAGCAATTCTCTAATGTATGGTTCAAAAAATGCATGGTGAAGTTAGAGGTGTGTTTCTTTTAGCACTTGTTGGAGGTGATCAGTACAGTTTAGTGGTAGAACTGAACAACCTGGAAAATTTCAATCCTTGGTTCACAGAATAATATGCATATCACAGAAGCCCTTGTCTCATTGAGCGCATGTATGGTGAGGAACAGAACTTTTACTGTTTTCTAGCAAATTGCTCCAAATAAGACAATTTCTTCATTTCTCTTAAAATAAATATTCCAAATGAAAACTAGTTAAAAAAAATGTTACTAAGAGAAACACGCAAGCCAGGAAGTTATACATCTTTAAATGCATCACAGTAATCATTAATTACATTTTCACATGCTCTTTTCCATATAACTCCAACTTCATTTATTTGCACATTGAATAGAGAGAGAAGTCCAGAACTGATGAATTGTCCATTGTGCATATTGGACTTCATGTAGTGAATGAGTCAAGAGACTTCTAACTGAAGAAAAATAATGGAGTGATGATAATTCAGACTTGCATATTGTCCAAACTATGTACTGAATGAAACCGAGGTCTTGTAGGGTAAAAGTAGTAAGTTTTTAATCTGACCGTTGTTTACACTGTGTGTGTGTGTGTGTGTGTGTATATATATATACTTTAAATGGAGTGTTTTGTATTGAGTATCTGTTTATATAAAGTTAATTTTCAAGGTTTAGAAAGTAACTAATTTTTTTAATAAGTGTACTTATTCATGCTTTATGTAGTCACCATTTGATATTTTCTGTCCCATAGTACTGCTTATTGGTAATATGAGCTGTGATGCAAAGGGGAATTTAATGGTGTCATTTAATATATTTTAGTCCTTTTTGTCACTTCAAAGTACACTCATTCAACAGATTCAGTACTACATGAAGTAGCGATATTTGGACACCAACTGCAACATAGGTTGGATGCCTAATAAGGGAACAACATACATCAATATGTAACTTTAACAACTTCTTACTTCAACAGCTTTGGGGTTTTTTGGGTACATTTGTGTTGGAACACTTTTTTTAAATTTTCATATGCTCAACAGATTCTGAAGGAAGTGGTCGTGGGAGTGAAGATGCATCGAAGGACAGTGGTGAAGGTTCCTGTAGTGAATCAGAAGAAAATGTCTTGGAGGAAGAATTGGCAGAAGTGAAAGTAGAGGAAGATCAGCAATCCAAACCTTCCACTGGAGAAGCAATGCCTACAACAGAAAAAGATGCGATTAAGACTGAAAATAAAGAACAGGAGGAGGAAGATGAGAAGCCAAAAAAGAAAAAAGAAAAAGAGAAAGAAAAAGCAATTGAATCTGATGCTGCTGCTGCTCCTGCTGCTGATGAGCAAGCAAATGAACCGAAAAAGTGGAATTTGCGTAGGAACCGACCTCTGCTGGATTTTGTATCAATGGAAGAACTAAATGATATGGATGATTATGACAGTGAGGATGACAACGACTGGCGACCTACTGCTGGGAAGAAGAAAGGAAAAACTGCACTGCGGAAAGAGGGAAGTGATGGAGACAACGAGGAGGATGAAGATGATGGAAGTGGTAGTGATGAGGAAGACAATGATGAGGAAGGCAATGAGGACAACAGCAGCACTGCTAGTGATGGTGGATCCAAGAAGAAGAAAAATAAAGTTCTTAGCAGGACTAGTGCTGATGATGAAGAACTGACAAATGATAGCCTGGCTCTTTCACAAAGCAAGAGCAATGAGGTAGAGCAACCAACTTTCTATAATATGTCTGAAAAATGGAAAGTATTCTGCAGTGCTATTTTTTTCTAAATTACTCATTGAAGTTAGACTGACTGGAATCCTATTTACAGTGTTTGATTTTTTTTTTCCCTTAAAAAAAAAAAAAAAAAAAAGCTCCAGAGCTATGCTGACTGGGTATTACATGTGAAATAAATTTGCTTGTGCTATAAGGGCCAATCAGTGCCCATTTAAGTCAACGAAACTCTTTTCATTGGCTTCAGTGGCCTTTGTATCAGCTTCATAGCAAGAAGGTCTATAGTGTGAACTAACTTCTGCTAATGATCAGTTTAGTTTTGTTATACAGGCAATCCCCGGGTTACGTACAAAATAGGGACTGTAGGTTTGTTCTTAAGTTGAATTTGTATGTAAGTCGGAACTGGTACATATTGTAGGGGAAACTCTAGCCAAACATTTATCCAGAGCTCAGTTTTATTCTCCCACACCTCACTTCCCTCAGTCCTTTATTCTCAAGCTGAGGTGTCTGCTGAGAAAAGCCGCTCCGCGTCTCCCTGGTCTGCTGGGGGGGAGCAGCTAGTGCGGGGTTGCCTCACCCCGTTTGTAAGTAGGGATCCGATGTAAGTCGGATCCATGTAACCCGGGGACTGCCTGTAACGTGCTTTATTAAACAGAAAGCAACACTAAAGCCATGTAAGAGCTTTGACATGTCCTAACAAATGCAAGAAAAAAAAGCAAGTGTTCTTGTCCAGTCCCTCATTGCAACAAATGTCGTAGAAAGCAAACATTACATTCACTGTTGGAAAGCTCTTCATAGAAAAACATGTACTCAGATGCAGGCTAAGCTAGAGTGAACATTATCTCTAACAAGCTATTTATCTGTTGTATGCTCTATTTTTTAATCACACCAAAAGGTACCATGGGTAACAATTAAGTGCATTGAATCATTGTGATTACAGAATGCAAATATTATGTATTAAGTTCCCAATGTTGTAATCTTCCTTATTTCTGTTGCCTTAAATAGGTGTAGCATTATTCTACTGAGTTGTTAAGATTCTTGACTTAATACATCATAGTTGCAAAATTTTATAAAAATCACTGTAAAAATTATTGACTTTTTGCAGGTAATCATAGTGTTGATACAATAGAATGTAATTTATGGATAAATTATAATTATACTGAATTACTTAGAGAATTGTTTCATTTAAAGGATATTTCCTGATGACTAATTTGTGCTGATTTTACTTTTAACACCCCCAATTGTGAGATTAGGGTTGAGTATTTTGAAATTTCTGTGTTTAAACTTTAATGAGAGACCACTTTAATGAATAAATCCATTACATTGGATATCAGTTGTGCATTTTGGTGCTAGTAACTGAGAGTAAAAAACCTTGAGAATTATATCCCTTATGTTTTGCTTTTATCAAATTCATGTACTGTTTATAACATTAAACCAGTACAGTTGTTTACATTTGGAAACTTTTGATATTGTGTACATTATATGCTTTATATGCCTGTTGTGACCTTACAAGGGATGGTTAGATTTTATAGTGTTAGCATCCTAATTACTTCTTGGATAAATGTGTCATTTTGAACTTCAGAGCAGGTAAAGTTAATCCTGATGCAGTACAATAGTTAGTGACATTGCAGGCCTATTTTACCTTGATCTTTAAGGAACTCTTAAAGTGAGAGTGGTCCACTTTCTTTCCTTTATTCTTTATATCATTTTCTAATTTTAAACTACCACTATACCTTTATCCCTGCCTTCTAGCTGAGACTCAAAAGTACTTCACAGATAGATGAAGCTTCACAGCACATCTGAGGCAGGTTAGCGTTGCTACAGTATAATCCCATATAACAGATGGGGAAATTGAAGGACAGAGCGATTAAGGTCTTAATCCTTGATATGTCCTGAGCCCCCACTGACGTGAATAATAATTATGGGTATTTAGCACCTTAATGGATTGATTCTTAAGTGACTTCACTACAGTCTCTGCCAGAAGTCAGAGTCAGAATTAAAACCCAGATCTCCTAGCTTTAAACACTGGGCTTTAATAAAACCATTTCCTCCTACCTTTCAGAAGGAACTATCACAATTGATTAAAAACTGTCCTAACACTGTTTAAGAACTGATTTTTTTTTTTATTAAGCTATTTTTGTTTCGATCTGGTTTTCCTTCAGTACAAACCAAGGTACTGTAATTGAATCTCTAAAACTGAAAATTGGCTTAATGAACTATAATTTTTTTAAAATCTAGTTTTAACTTCTAGGTTAACAGCATATAACTCAAATTTCATTTTATGGGATTTGAAACAGCAAGCCTTCAAAGTGCTGCTGGCAGCATCACTATTATAATTTTTCACACTTAATAAAAGTGGTTCCTCTCAAGCCCAGTAGAATCTCATTACAATGCACAAGCTAAAGTCCTTTGTAATACAGATGTTACTGTTCTTGATGTAGGAAAGGACGGAGTATCTAAGCAACTGTGTAGGCAGTTAATATTGAGGTCTTTAATAAGGTTTAGTTTTTTTCTCTTTAAAGTCTTTTTGCTCAGTTTATTTTTTTACGCTTTCATTTTGCAAAGATAGAATTCAAGGACAGACTATGTTATACTTGATTCTGTGTTGTAATGAAGTACCTCTATAATGTTCTACTGTATTAAGCTTACATTGTCGCAACTTGTGTCAAGCATCATTAGTAGATAAATGATACTCTTCAATTTTATAATTGCTAGTGCTTTAAGGAGTTCTTTTCTTCCCCAGTGAGGCCCTCTGCAATTCCCATTAAATCTATTTGGATATACATGTGCATAGATTGTGAAACTTAATACTTCTTACAAAAGTCCATATTATTTGTATGGTGAGTTAAATGGTGATGAGAATGAAATCCATCCATTTACCTTGAAGATGTAGGATTTGAGCTGGAACAGTGGTTCTTGACCCGTATAGGGATTCTTGGCCACTAAATACATCATACTAGAGAATCTGAGCCCCCTTACAAAACCTAATCTTGATGTTGAATTTGGTATCCTTGCAGCATTGGCTCATTCCTCTACCTTATCTGTTTCTCATACATATTTTCTCCATGCAAGTGAGGTAATATCAGTGTTTACATAGTACAGTTTTTTATTCATTTAGATAAAAACTTTAGTCAGAAGTTTTATAAATTGTCTTTTAGTTAGACAAATGTCAGTGTTTAGAGAACTACAAATCAGACCCAGTTTTAGACTTTTTTTCCAGTTAAGACCATCAAAATAAGAGCCTGTGGCACTGGCTGAAAATTCTGGCTTTCTATAGAGTTCTTAGAATGTTAAGGGAAGTGATTATTCCCCTTTATTCAGCACTGGTGTGGCAACATCTGGAGTATTATGTCCATTTCTGGCTCCCCCTTCCCCCCTTTTTACAGAAGGGATGTGGACGCATTGGAGAAGATCCCCCCTTTTTACAGAAAGGATGTGGACGCATTGGAGAAGATCCAGTGGAGGGCAACAAGTGATTAGGGGGCTGGAGCATATGACTTAGGGTGCATCTACACTGCACTGTTATTTCGAGAACTAGTGTTCTTCCAGAATAACTATGAGCATCTACACAGCAGTTCCATTATTTCAAAATAATTTTGAAATCTGTAAACTTCATTCCACGAGAAATAACGCCTCTTCCAAAATAGCTGTTTCAAAATAAGGCATGTGTAGATGGTCCACTTCTGCTATTTTGAAATAGCTGTCACCAGGGCCATTCCTCCTGGGGCTCTAAATCGAGATAGCACATCTACGTTAGAGACGCCTGCTCAGACTAATTGAGGCAGTGTAGATGTGCTATTTCGGAATAACTATTCCAGAATAGTTTATTTCAAAATAACTCTGCAGTGTAGACATCCCCTCATTTGTCTCTTCTGTAGACTAAATAAGACAAAATCCCTCAGACTCTGAGGGTGTAGTTTGATAGCAGCCTTCAGTACCTGAAAGCGGGGCGGGGGAGGGGATGGTTCCAAAAGAGGATGGATGTAAAGAGGCTGGTCTCAGTGGTGACTCACAGAATGAGGAGCAATGGTCTCAAGCTGTAGTGGGGGAGGTCTAGGTTGGATATTAGGGAAAAAAAACTATTTCACTAAGAGGGTAGTAAAGCACTGGATTGGATTACCTGCGGAGGTGGTGGAGACTCCATCTCTAGGGGTTTCTAAATCCTGGCTTGACAAAGCCCTGGCTGGGATGATTTAGTTGGGATTGTTCCTTCTTTTAGTAGGGAGTTGGACTAAATGACCTCCTGAGGTCTCCTCCAACCCTATGATTCTGTGAAGCTGCATACCTAGTTTGGTAGTTCTTGCTCTTACTGTTAGGAGGAGTTTTTTGGACGGACGGCTGGCCAGCCTCGCTCACTCATAGACAAACTCTTTCAGATTTAGCAGATTATACTGGCAGAGAAATGTTCAATTCATTAGTTTTATAAAGTGCTGGCTTTTTAAAACCTTATTTTAAAAGAAGGGGGAAATCCTTGCTAATCCTGAATCTATGTAATATGAGGAAAACTTTATTTCCTGTTCTTCCCTTATGCAAACATGACACTGTATATTATTTTTATAATTTCTCTTATTCCTAGACTTTTCCACATTATCTCAAGGCTCATGCCCTCTTGATTAAGAGGGTAATGGAAAATATACTCAGTGACATCAGCGCATAAAGTTTATTAGCTTGCCTTCATCTTGTTACCCTCTCTTCTACCAAATTTTTTGTGAGCATCTTTAAACTCAGGACAATAGCTGCAAGCAGTCTGGGTAGAACTACTTGCTCCTTACTTAGATACCTGAAGAGATTGCCCATGTTATGAATGGGCTTTTAAATATGTAATGACTATCTGCATTTTTTATTTGTTTGGATGTTTGACATGAATATATAGCTTGTGCCAGATTAATAGCTCTGGAATTGGGAATCTTCTGTAAATAGAAAAAGTAGTAGCAGCAGTACAAACTTTCCCTGTGCCTCAAACTTTGTGTACCTCATATCTGAATATGTGTCCACATTTTGGAATTGGAAGCTCATTTGTTCTGTCAGGTTCTTTGACCTGTTGGATCAGGATGTCATTTGTGTTGTGTAGTGGAACAAGACTGAGATCTGCAAACATTCCATGTAGGCTACTGAACAGCTATCCTAAAGCAAATTAGAAGTGACAAGAACTCTGCAGTATTGATCTGAGATTGTGGATTTAGCTCTAATTTTCTTAAAGTTCAGAACAATAGAACCAAATCAACATTTTCTCCATATTCTGCTGACATACACACCTATTAAATTGTTTTATTCCTAGTTCTAAGGTGCTGTATGAGATGTTTTAATCTATAACCTAGGCACATCTTTTGCTTAACATAGAAAGGATGGCTGTAAATGCCATGTTAGAAACATGTTTCCTTGAGGTTTTTGGAAAATTCACTAAAATGTTGAGGGAGCTAGACATATTACGCAGGCTTTCAGATCATCAGTTTGGTCCTGACCTCACTTTTCTTGGTGTTTGAGTACTAGAAATTAAAAAAAAAAAAGTACAGCTTTCATTATCTTTTGTAGAGAAGGCTATTTATGTGCATTTATTATATTGTAATGAAAACATAGCAGAATAACTTCCTGTTAATTTAATTCCTCTAATTCAACAGACTAATGGCCGTCAGGGAGGTGAGGGGACTTAAGGTTCTGCATAAACTTTTATCACCACATTGTAGTTATTAACTGTATTCCTGCATATTGCAACTAGAAACATTTTTTGTTCTTATGAAAATGTGTGAAGTGAAAATATCATGAGGCCCACATCATCTGGAAACTAATTGCCTCTGCATCTGGGAAATGTTGACTACTCATGTTATTCTCTGTCTAGTACTGTATTGCTGCCAATTATGAGCTAAGTGATTGATCAGATCCAAGGATCGCATACGATTTTTTCTTCAGAGCCAATTGGGCATCAGATTTATTTTCTCAAACTGTTGTCCATGGGCCACAAGTTATCTATGGAGCGTTTCCTGGTGATGACAGAACACAAAGCATGGAGAGCAGTGCTGTGTGAGATTTTAGAGACTGTGGGTAATAGTTCACATGAGGATTGGAGAACCACTGACGTAAGGGGTGCAAGTATTCATTCTTTAAAATCTACTTTTATTAGGGAATATCTTGTCATTGTTACATGGTCAGGGTATTCAGAATGAGGATATAGCTACTTTATCACAATCATACATAAGGGATTTGGAGGAAATGGGTTGTTTGAAAAGGATAATTTCTACTCCACCCATTTTATATACTGCTGTGGCTTATGGTGCAGCAGGAAAAAATTCTGCCATATGCTAGGAATTCTAATAGTAGCAGTGCAGTGTCAAATATGGATTGGTAGTTTTAGGGCAAAGGTTATTACAAATGCTTCTTTAATCAGCTATGTTTTTATTTACTGATGCATCTGGTGCCTCACTTCTCCATTTTTGTTAAGACTTTTATTGGTGAAGCCACTCCTTAAAAACAGAAAACTGGGGTGGGTAGATGGGTGAAGAATTCTAATACAGTACAGATGCACATTTCTACAGCTCAGAAACACATTGATCAATTTGAGGACAATCTTAAATCCATTCTAAATAGTATTCATTTTAATACCTTGAAAGGTTGAAAATACCCAGAACTTATCCTTAATTATTTTATGTCTGAATGATATAAACTGTTCTCATGAGATAAATTCCTAATTAAATTATATAAAATTATATAAATTTCACTTTATATACGGTGTTTCACTGTGGAGAATTCTAAAGTACTTTATAGCTATATACGTGATTGCAAACCCTTACTTATGTTTGTAGTCAAAAGGTGACTCGTGTATGTGTTTAAAAAATTGTATGTAAAAGTAACATAATACTTGTGTGGGTTTTTGCAAAGTTATAGACTCTGACAAAGTGAAGCAACTTTTTTTTAAGTTAGCTGGACTCCCAAAACATACTTTCAACATTTAAAAACTTCGTTACAAGAATTATATTTTCTGATTACCCTCTGTTCAAGAACACCAACAGATTAAATCAGGTTGGTCAATAAGGCTGCTGGAAGGGAGACCTGCTATAAGTAGATCTTATAGGCCCGCTTAAGGCTTGTGTGCTGCAGGCATCATTAAGATTCTTAAATGATGGATGGCAGAGTTGCACTAGGGAGTCATATGATTATAATGGAGAGGAAGACCCCCCCCCTATTATACAGATGGGAAACTAAGCACTTGAAAGTTTGTACATGGTTTTTATATTTATAAAATTACAGGGCATCAGACGTTTTATCCTTAAGTATCTAATTTTTTTGTTTACACTGGATAAATATCTGTTTTTAATATAGGTTGAACCTCTTTAATCCAGAACTCTCTCATCCAGAAACATCTGTTGTCCAAGTGATTTTAGTTAGTCAGCTGTCCACTTTCCATAGGTGTGGCCAAGCTTCCGACAATTCTATAAAGTTTACAGTCACCAGTCCTTGCTTACGGTGTTCTGTGTATTGCTTAGCTGTATTTTATCCCAAATGTCCTCTAACAGCACAGTAAGCAGTGGAAGTGCTGGTAATGCTGCTAGAAAATATTGACCTCCTGTGGTCCAGAAAATTGTCCTGTTCAGAATTGGTCAGGTCCCAAGGGTTCCGGACTATAGAGGTTTCAGCCTGTAGCAATAAATAATTCCAGTGTGATTCCAAGTATAATCAGTACATCTTAATTTTCAATGCTAGGACTCGCTGATCCTTGAAAAGTCTCAAAACTGGACCTCCCAGAAAATGGACCATATTCTGATTTGCTGTGTTTGTCTTGGGGATAACAGTGAAGATGCTGATGAAATAATCCAGTGTGACAATTGTGGCATAACTGTGCATGAAGGTAATTTTATGCTCTTTATCATATGTTGTAATGGGAAAAGAAAAGATTAAAGGCAAAGTTTACTACTTTATGAAGACAGTAAACTGTCTTGTCTGACAGATGAATCTCCCCCAAAAAACTGGTGTTAAATTATTTGTATTCCTCTGAGAACAACGGTGGTAGCTATTTTTTTCCTTAGGTAAACGTGTTTTTACAGAAGAAAATTTCAGAGAATATGGGATAAGCTGTAAGAGCTTTTAATGTAAATCCAATTTGAAAACATTAAAATGCAGGATATTTTTCAGGACTTATTTTGGGGAGTTCAGCTAAAATTTAAATCTACTAATGTAGTGGTCCTTCAAACTAGGGCATAAGGTCTTGGCTGTAAGAATTTACTTCTGGGGGATTCTGCGTGACTGTATGCCCTCAGAAAACACTTTCCTGCAGAAAACAGCAGGGAAACAAAGGGAAATTTTGCAGGATGAATGAAGTGCGGAGACAACTGCGGGTGCAATTTTGGAGAAGGAGGATTGGCCCCCAAACAAAGGCCTGAGGCATGTGGGGGAATATGAGTTATGTGCAACTGCTTCCTCCTCCCCTCCCCATTTTTGTATTCTGCTGAAGGAAGCTGTCTCTCTTCCACTGAGAGTCTGCAGCTGAACACTCTGTATGCTGGGAGCCTTGCCGCTTTTTGTGCAACAGTGAGTGTCTGCATGGGACTGGGTAAGGGAAGGTTGGGGAAAATCAGGGAACAGAGAGGTGAGATGGGGAAGGAAGTGGTGTGGAATAGGGCATGGGGAGGGAAATGAATAAGAGGAATGGGGTGGACAAGAAAAGAGAATAGAGAAATGACAGTGGGGGAGGAATGGGAGCTCATCATGAAGTGTTGCCTGAGCACCAGTTGGGGCTCCTCCATTGAGCAGGCCCATTGAACTCTCACCCTGACAAGCTCTACCCTCCCCTAAATCTGGCCTTTTGTGATGACCCCCTGTAATGGGGCGGGCACTCACATCTCAAGAGCTTCCGCCTTTGGCTGAGTGCATGTGCCTGCACACAATCTCCGTGTAAGCCTTCTTTGGCAACTCAAGCCATCTGGCTGAGTAACTCTCCCACCTCCACCCTCATGTGCAATCCAAACAAACCCTTTCAGGGTATACATTTAACAGGGACCCATCTGTGTGTCCAGTCTGTAATGTCTGAGTCTGTTTCCCTCAGTCTGTTCCCCACTCTGGTAGAGAGTCGTGTCCCCAGGACTGCTTCCCCTTTTGGAGGTAGTGTACTCAATAGGGTTGTAAAGGAGTAGTGAACAGGATAGTCAACTAGTCACTCCCCCTTGCCCTCTGTTGCTGACTCTCAGACAGAGGCAGCAAGGGGGGAGAAAAAGGGGATACATAAAAGCGGCAGTGCCGCACGGAGCCTGGGATCAGCTGGGGAGTCCCCAGCTGATTCTGGGCTCCAAGTGATGCTGCTGCTTTGAAATGCTGTGCGGAGCCTGGGATCAGTTGGGCCCAGCTGATCCCAGGTTCAGTGTGGCATTGCCACTTTGAAATGCCAGGTGCAGCCCGGATCAGCTGGGGACTCCTCAGCTGACACCAGGCATCGTGTGGAATTTCAAAGCAGCTTGGAGCCTGGGATCAGTGCGGAGTGCCAGCTTTGAAATATACAAGGGTCCCCAGCGGGGGCTCTTGTGCATATCAAAGAGGAAGTGCCTGCATGGAGCCCAGAGTCAGCGGGACTTCCATGTGGCGTTCCAACTTTGAAATGCACAAGAGCCCCCTTCTGGGGCTCTTGTATATTTCAAAGGTGGAAAATGGAAGTGCTTATTGACTAATCCAGTGTGTGTCAACCTTTTTATAAAGTAAGTACCCCCAGTGCCTACAGTTTTCAGAACCAGTTTTTTTTTTCTACCATTGCAACACATTTGTTTAAACAACTTAATCATAGCCGGGCAGGCAATGAAATTTTTGGATGTAAAAGGTACAAAAATAATAAAGTGCTGTAAAACTTAAATTCAGTTTTCTCCAAATTTCAGTTGCGTTGATGTACCCCCAGACTTCTTTTGAGTATCCCTAAAGGTACTCGTACCACTGGTTGAGAAACACTGGACTAGTCGATGGCAATTCCATCGACTACTCGAATAGCAAAATTAATCGCTAGTTAACATCCTTAGTCCTCACCCTTCCCTTGGGGCTTTATAAGTCCTAACTTAGTCCAGTGGTCTTTAATAGATCTCTGCACAGAGCTCTCCATGGTGCTGCTGCTGTCAGCCAGCCAATCTTCAAGTCTTCCCAGTTTGAGGTCTCCAGAGGAAATGAACTACCTCTGGTCCTGCAGCTCCTTCTAATAGAGCCGATTGGCTGCCTGGAAGCACTCTACCTTGCCTGGAGGACCTCTCTGGGCCGCCTTCTAGTACTGGTTGTGGCAAAGCCGCAAGTCTCCAGCATGGGTCTAGTCCGTCCCATCACACCCTCCTAGACTTTGACCTCACTGATTCCAAATCAACTGCACCTGAATTCTATTCCATCAAGCCTGCTCACTCAGCACCCAGATCCTACCTCTGACCTCCCAGTGCTAGAACGTCCCCCCCCACTGAACCCAAAGAGCGTTCAACTAGATCCACTGCAGTTTCATGTTGCCCCTATACCCAGAACCCTCTAGTGAATGCCTCTGCATCCAGAGCTCCCACACCTGATGCACCTAGCCCCTTCCCTCCCCCTGCCCCCATTTGGATCCTACTGTGCTAAGGTATACGTGGCTCAGAGGTACTTCTGAGGCAGGCCCAGCCTTTGTGCTGTGTCATGGTCAGGTGCAGCCTTGCTGCTGAGTCCTTGTACCAGGGAAGGCGGAGGCTTCTGGGTGATTTCCCAGCTCAGTGCAGTCAATGCCTGTGCTCCTTAAGCCACATTTATTAGACAAACACAATTTGAAGAATTTTTAACTTTTTGGTGTGGAATTCTCTCAGGAGTAAAGAATTCTAAGTGCAAAATTTGCAGTGGTGCAAAGTGGACTGACTGCCAATGAGGTCCTAAAAGTGCGTGGAACTGAATGGGAAAGGATATGGTCAGGGTAGTTGAGTTCATGTGAAAGTTAGATACTTGTTAAATATAGTATGTATATTGAGAATAAGAGGTCGAATTCAGGAGGAAAATCAGGCTATTTGGAAGAAAAAATTCAGTTCTTCATTTGGTAATTTCAGAAAGTCCTCACTGAGTAGTATTGTGTATGTAGAAGGCCTCTTGTAACACTGCAGAAAGTGATAATGGAGCTATGGGGAGTGGTCTTACAGGTACAATTAGGTAGAATTTTCAGTATGTAGTAGTAGATTGATAGTTACCTTTTATATGAACACTTTACTTTGAGCATGGATTTATTAAAATATGTAAAGAAATTCATTATGGAAATATTGTCTTGGCTATTTTGTTATGTATCTCTTCCAAGCAAGATAGAACTTACTGGGACCCTTAACTCAAAAGCCAAGCAGGTCTGTTTTTTTCTTTTAGGGGGAAAAGAGGAGATCTGCTGCTGTTTCTTTAAGTGAATAATGCCAAACAGAGGACTGAATTTCATGTTTGTGTATGCTCATGTAGATGTATTTACTTCCTTCTATCCATAGTGAAACATTCACCAATCTCAGTGGGAACTTTGCACAAAGACCCTGGAGAGAATATGACCTGTAGTGGCTATATTCTTAGTGCTTTTGTTCAGAGCTTTATTGTTGCTTATGTGGAAAAAACATACTAGCCTTTTCAGATTGCCGCTGTATGTTCTATTCTTCCCCCATCCTTGGTGTATGTGGAAAAAAAATACTAGCCTTTTCAGATTGCCGCTGTATGTTCTATTCTTCCCCCATCCTTGGTGCTTCACTTCCACTTTGCTGTTTCCTTATTTTTCCTCTGTATTTCCTTTCATGAAGAAGCAGCTTTGCTCCCACCCTATTCTCTCTGCAAAAATAACTAGCAGTGAAATAGTTAATATTGCTATTAAATATCATTTGATTTTAGTTATCGCTCCAGTAGGATTAATACAGCTGTGGTCATACTGCTGAATCATTGTTTCAAGCTGTTGACGAAAAGGGAGGTCATACTGCTGAATCATTGTTTCAAGCTGTTGACAGACTTGGAAAAATCTCGCTGCACCGGTTGCCCTCAGTTCATATTTGGAAGCTTGGTTTTTTTCACAGCCTTAAGAGCAAGGAACATTTTTATATGAAAAATTAGTTTTTGTGCAAATTGAATGTTACATAAACTACTCAAATACGAGGCAGAGAACACTTAAGGTAGTTTTTGTTTGTTAGACACAACTAAAAATACTTTTTCTCAATTTTGGATTTAAGGAAGGAAGGACATCCCTTATTAAATGTATTGCAGTATAATTACTTTTCAGAATTATCCATACTGAGAAGTGAACAATCCTTTTTCTTTTTAAAAAATCTTCTTAAATTTGTCACTTTGGATACATGTTTTTATGCCAGGATCTTGTAACTTGTTTGTAATAACAGGGTACCCCTAACTGTGATGCCAATTCTTCTAACATATTGATTGCAGTGTGTCTGAAGAAAAATGTCTGGTACATATCATAGCCAATGACAGTCCTGTGGGTATTGCACTTTGCCAGCAGTTGCTCTTGGGTTTAGTTGATGTGAATTAAATGAAAAAGTTCTGCATTTGCCCAGACATCTTTCAAACTGTTTAATTTGTTACTTTGCTGTGAACTATATGGCAAGGAATAGAATTTTCTGTTCTTAAAAAGTGTGTACTCTTAAGAATAGTTACTGATCAGTAAATTTAATTACTGGTATTTTGATTGTACAGCTTTCTCTGTTCTAATGGTGGTTTCTCTGTGCAGGGATGTAAGCAAGTAGTTGACTAGTTCACTATCCGCTAATCAAAAGCTCTGAGGGGCGGGGCGGGGGAGGAGAATAGGGGAGGCTGCTCTGGCAGCAGCCCCTGTCAGTGGGGGACCCAGCAGGGAGCTGGGCCCCTCCACAGATGGGGACTGATGCCTCCCAGCAGTCCCTGTTC